GTGAAAATGAACAGTGATTTGGGCCTACCCCCATCACCGTTCAAAATTCATCACGTGGTCACGATTGTCTGATAGTATTTCATTTTTCATTTTTTTTCTAAAAATCGGAATGACCTAAAATTTGGAAAGTGTATTCATAAAAACTAAATGAATCTTTGAAAAATATAAAAAAAATATTTTACATGAAAAACATTGACCAAAATAACCCCAAAATATTTTGGGGATATTTTGGTCTTTTGTTTTCATAGATAATTTTTTTTATATTTTTATTAGATGAGCCTAAGTAAGATGTACATACTTTCCAAATTTCAGGTCATTTAGATTTATAAAAAAAAAAAATAAAAAATAAAATACTACTGGACAATCGTAACAGCGCGATGAAACTTGGTCGGTGATGAGGGTAGGCAAAATCACTATTTATTTTTGCCTATAGCCGTTAGTTGATAGTTACAGTTAACGTCTAATAGCCCAGATTGAATCTGGGTCGATCCATTGGTCACAATTGCATTTCGTTTCGGATTTTTAATTGTTTTCTACAAATCAAAATCATTTAAAATTTGGAGCATCTAATCTTAAAACCTAAGAAAATTTGATAAAAATATTAAGACAATTAGTCACAAAAATTAAATGAATCAAAATATCCCTGAAAATTTTAGAGGTATTTTGGATAATTTAATATTAGAGAATAATATTTTTAATATTTTTATTAGGTGCACCTTGAGAAGTTGACGTCCCAAATTTTATGTGATTTGAATTTGTAGAAAAATTAATATTAAAATACGATATACAGTCTTGACTATCAGATTTGAATTTGGGCCAATGTGTTTACACTATTCCATCAACCCACGGGCTCACATGATCTTTTCAGCTTATGTAAAAGATCTAATATTATTTTAATTCAAAATTTTTATTTTTTGATTTTTTTTTATTTATAGTCAATTTCAGTTTCTACGTACAAGGCACGTAATTGCACTAGTTTTGGTAATACCGTGTATATATCAAAGTGGTTCTATATTTTACCTCAATTGGGGCTTGATTTGGAAGCAATCTACCAAGAGATGACGGATATATTCTTTCTAATTCATAAAAAGCCCAAAATGGTCTGTTTTTTTGAACCTTTTGATTGATTCGTACTCAATGGACCATGGGCTTTCATGGTCATTAGGTTGGCATTTTCTCTAGATTTTTCCAATGCTTGGCCCCCACCAATTGAAGATTATATGAGCCGTTGTAGTACTAGATAGTTTCTTATCCAAGACCAAATGTCCATATCATCCTCATTAATTGGCTGTCCATAGGATTCCATTGAAGTATCAAGGCAACTTCATGCACGCACCCAATATAAGTTTTTATACTTAATAGTGCTCCATATTTTAGTACATATAAGTTTTTGTACTTAATAGTGGTCCATATTTTAATACATGGTAAGGTTAAAAAATGGATCGGTGATCTAGATCGGCTACTTCAAAAATTGTGTCGTGTCAGTGGATCAATGAAGCAGATTGAGCCAGGTCGAAACGAACCGGGCCGGGTTGCCCAGAACTGGCCTATGGGCGGGTCTGGTTAACCTTCGTTTTAGTGGTCAAGTTCCTGAAAAATTTTTCTAAAAAGTTATTAAAAATAAAACAAATAAGAAATTTCTTTGTAGGAAAAAGTTTATATAAGGATGCAATGATTGAAAAACCTTATGATTGATCATCTCGACATCGAGATGTACGACTATAAAAAATAAATAGATTTTAAATCTAAAAAATAGTGCATTTTACAACATACTTTCTACACCATCTATTTTCAAGATTTTCATATGTTTATGGATTTACTTGATTTTAAACATATTTGAAATTTAAAATTTTATAATTAGATATAAAAATAGATTTTGAGATAATCCTAGAACATTTTACATCAAAATTATATACATGATATAATTTGAAGGTGCGCCTTACCTCTACACCTACGGATGCATCAGTATGGCAACTACACCCTTCTTTGTAATGTGTTTTTATATGTTTCTGATCTTTTGGAGAAGATTGAAAAGTATTTTGGCCATGTTATTTTTGCACATGTCCTCTTTTTTTTTGGATTATTTCTAAAGTACTATTGGTCACAAATTGATTTTTCAAAATCTATTTTTTCACTACTTTTTTAATGTTGTTTTGTTTAGTGCTATTTGAAACATATTTTTCATATTATTTGGAATTTTTTGTACTTTTAAAATTTGAAACACTTTTTTGCCTAGCCACTACTTGCACAACTCCGACCGGGTTACCGGCACCCACCCCATGCTGGGTTCCACGGCTGATGCCAGGTTCCGCGGCCGGGTAGTGCAATCCTACACTGGTGTCCACTTTGTAATATGCGTACATAAAGTACTTAATGTTGTGAAATGTTGTGTTGAATTGGCTATAAATTTATATTTAAGAAAAATATGTAGATGGTTTTGATTTATAAAATTCCAATAATAATTGCATTACCATCGTTTGTCTTTTCAAATTGTTTAATATGAATTCACACATATTTTAAATAAGAGAAGTGATTGACAGGGCTGCAGTCCTATCAAAATAAGTAAAGCCTCATCTAATGACTCATCTTAAATTTTATTTTAAGCATTAGAAACATTTATATCAATCATCTCGAGTTGAACGTTATGGTTATGAAAAAAATTAAAATTTCAAACTATAAAAATAGTATATATTTTAACAACTTATTTAGACTGTGCATTTCGACCTTGACAATAAGTATTCAAAGATCCACAAGATCTGTATAAATTTTTAAGTTTCAAAATTTTATTGCTGGTGTTGGAAATTGATTTTAGAGCCATCATGGAGATTTCCGTAGCCGAAAGTGCTTTCCAAACGAGGATTTAAGATGAGGTTTTATTTGGTTTTTGTAGAGCCTATGCCATATAGAAACTTCATCCTTTAAATAAACAATGTAGACTTTACCATAGTAATATAAAATACCAATTATAAAGAGTCTATACTTTTGAATTCAATTTTTATGCTCTTGAATTACATTATGGCTATTTTAAATAATAATTTAAATTTTATAAAATATAAAAACTAGTGTATTTTTAGAAAATGTTTATTTTTTTGGATTTTTAACCACTCAGTTTGTTCCTCTTCTTTGTAACTTTTTATTTTTTATTTTTTACAGTTCAAAATTTTATATTTTTATTTATGATTTCTCATGCATCTTAGTGTCGGTTATTAAGTTTTTGACCTTTTCTAATTAATAAATTTCAATTTTTTAAAAAGCTATGTTAATTTTAACTCAAAAGTTGACCAAGGTTTTTAAAGTCTTTAAATTTTTAATGGATTGTCATTCTCCCAAATTATTCATGGATGATTTCTTATTTTTATTACAAATTTTAAAATGTTAAAAAATAGTTACGTTGACTTTACTGCAACAATTAGTCTATGCACACCTATCTTTGTAAAATTATCTAATATAATCTTATTAACATTTTGTTTTTACGTATTTCCTAATTTTTTTCAAATTTTATTTTATTTTATTTGTGTGATGTCTTTTTGTGAAAAAAATAAAATAAAATTATGTCGAATGTAAAGTTCGGTGGTTGCAATCATTCCATTGACCAAGCTTAATCTTCAAAAGAAAATTTCTCAAACTTTGTAACACATCCAAGCTATTAAATTTTATATCAAATTGTTGTAAGGAATTGTGACCACCTTGTATATAATGAGACCATTTACCTTCAAAAATGGATTTCAAGTTTTGAGATTGTATAAAGTTTTAGTGAAAATCAATACAATCTCTTTTAGTGAAATTTTCATTATATACAATCAATACAATCTCTTTTAGTGAAATTTTTAAAGTGCGTTTTAATTTGATTGTTTAGAGCCTCGGCTCTATATAAATTTTTTTCTTATGTAATTTTTCCGATTATTTTTTAGGTTCTACTTTTGTTAATCTTTGCGTTCTATTTGACGGTAGTTAGAAAGTCCAATTTTGGGAACCACCAAAAGTATTTAGGAGGTTTCGTACCGATGGGGGGTCTTCATCCCCACGACATGCCCAAATAAATCTTTTCGTATTGCGCGAAACAAGCGTTTGGTTGGTTCAAATAATAGTTGGGAAGTGTCCACCTGATCCACGCATGGAGAAATAGATCTCAGTGGCTATTATAAAGAGATACAACATCATCGTTTACAAGATCCTGAACTCTGAGAATTCAAGTCCCCTCTTTTTTTTTTTGTTCAGAAACCGCTCCATGGATTTTCAGCACCAACATGAAGCCATGGCCGGAATCTCAGCCTTAATATTCATTTTCTGGGTCTTAGAAAAGAAAAAAGGAGAGATAAAATGAGGCCCCGTAATCTTCCGGTGGGTTGGCCGCCTTCCTCTTGTTATAAATTCGACGTTTCCATGGCGAACCGTAGCCTCTCTGTCGAGCAAATATGACCCCCAACTGTGATAAAGCTTCCCGCCAAAATATAAAACAAAGAAGAAATGATATGGGAAAGGAGAAGGGGAGAAAAGGTAACAAAGTCAGTAGTCTGCCCTCGCAAGCTTGTCGTCTTCATTTCTGTCTCTGTTAATGTGCTGGAAACGGACCATGTAAGGCATACTAGGGTCCCGTCCTACAGTCATGGTAAGCACTGCTGAGCTCGCCAAGGAATGCTTCACATAAACTCCTAGGCTACGGATAAGTTGCCTTCGGGTTTGTACCCAATGGCATGAGTCGCGTAAGCTCGCCCTTCTCCACCCTCTGCATCAACCTTTTGTAGAACGGGCGTAGATCAGCGGTGCACACATGCATGAGGGAGATGTACGACCTGTTTGTCCAGAACAGAATGTCTCCTGTGAAAGTGACAATAAGTATGCATTTGAGGAGTCTGATATTTTGTGTTATGGAAAAGATGGTTACCGGGAAACGGAGTTCTAGAGGTCACGAAGATGAGGAAGGGCGGTCGTTATGGGGGGTGGTGAAGGAGATGTTACTGTTTTTCGCTTATGCACCTTCTCATGTTCATTTTTATGATTTATTGACTCTCTTGGAGCGATTTGATTCGCAGGACCACTTCAAAGCCGTGAGAAGAGTTGGGAGAGAGCTTGATTTAGTCTTAGCGGGCTTACTGGTGGAGCTTCGCCGAAAACACAATCCTGGAGATAGTTGCAGTGAACCTCAGGATTTCATTGATGCATTGCTTGCAGCCATGAGTAAAATGGAGAAAATTTCAACAAGTTATATCACCGATACAACAATCAAGGCCATATACCCCGTAAGTTTTGTTTTCATGAACGGTCATCCCCCTTCACAGGCCTGGAACTGGATGGGTGGATGGATACTGTCCATTTCAGGGCGGATGGAACTGGAACGGGTGATCCCCCTCCCCCGATTTTTTTTTTCTAAAATTGTTTCTTGATCCAAAAAGACATCTTTGGATTGAATTTTAATTCTTTTTTTAGTAGGGCACTCCCCTACTAACCTAAAAACTTAAAAAAAGGAGAATTAAAATTTGGACCGAGGATTCCAAACCGTGGGGTAATTTTGGCAAAAATAAGAAAAGGAGGGTTGGCTGACCTTCTTTTATAATTTATGCCTGTAAATGGAGCATTTCGTATTTCACAAATTTTTTTAAGGTTGGTACATAAATCATCAAAACTCTATATCTATAATTTGTACAAAAACCCTAAATTAAACACAAAACCATCCCTCGATATTTTTTCCATATTTGGAAAAGGATAGTTGTTTCATGAGGGCTGGACCGCATTTCTATATATGTGGTCCATAAGTGTAAAGCATCCATCTTAAAGATGGATACAAGTAGGTGATCCATCTACAAACAATGTAAACTAACAATCCAAATGTTTTTTTAATAAAATTATTATTTCTAATTTTTAAAATTTATTTATTTTTTTCATATTCATGATCTCCAGGTTAGAGATTACATATCCTTAAAAAATAAGTCAAAAATCCATCGAAGTTGCCACATTTCTACATGCGGGCGCTTGGTCCGCATGCTAACCGCCAGCCTTTGGAAAAAGCTGGATAGTCTCAAAGGGAATCTATGTTGAAAGCCTTTTAAGACCTCCTTTTAGGAAATTGTTTAGCTGGAATAACTTCTCCCATCCAATTAGAGTAGGAAGGAATTACATTTTTATAAAGAAGAACATTTGGTTCTTAGAAGGAAAGGAAGCATCTCTTCTTGGGCCTTCTTCACCTGTGAAACATCTAAGTTGTTGCTTGTTTTTGCAGTTGCTAATTATAGCAGGAAAAGACAGCATATCAATCGCATTAGTTTGGTTCTCTCCTTACTTCTAAATCACCAAAATGTCTTGAAAAAAGGTCGACGAATCAGACATCGAAATCTTGAAATATTTGAATGCCATAATCAAACAAACATTGCTGCTCTACCCACCCGGCCCCTTCTTATTTCCACACGAAGCAATGCAAGATTGCCGTGTCGGAGGCTATCGGGTTCGGGCCGGAAAGTTTCCTGTTCGAGAGACCTCCTTAACCATAAACTGTTCTCATTTCATTTGGTTTCCTTCTATTCAATCAATGATTGATCGAAAATTGTGTTTCACCCACCGACTATCTTCGTGGTAGCAAGCTTTCCTGTGAGGAAAGGCGCCACGCTAACGGTGAATGTATGGAAGATACAGAGGGATCTATGTCTCTGGCCAAATGCTGATGATTTATGTGAGCATGGTGCTGGGTCTCACAGAGAGCATTCATTGGCAACGATATTGTGCTTGTGTTTGATCCAATTGTATTACTATCGTGTAATTCTTCATGTATTAGTTTGCCAGTGTTGCAAATATTACGAAATCCTAATTCTACCTTTACGAATGAATTTGATGTATCTCTTACCCAAATGTAATAGAGACAAATAAAGCAGAAGTCTGTAATTATAATATGGATTTATGTTCTTTCATTTTTTTTTTGTAGGATATTTTTAATTTAGGAAAAATATTATATAAGTATGAGGCTCTAAACAATCAAATTGGGGCACACCTTAAAAAATTTACTAGAAGAGGTTGTTTTGAAGATGCATTGACCTGAGAAAAAAATGGATTTGAAGTTTTGAAAATAGTGCATTTGTAATGCGTTTTTGGACTATCAATTTTCAAGATTTTTCAAGTTTTCATAGATATGCTCGATCTATATTATTTTGAAGCTTTAAATTTTATAATTACAAATGAAAAAATATTTTTATGCTATTACAAAGATTTCCAATATTGAAACCACATTTCTCGACACTATTTGAAGGTGCGCTTTACTTTGATTGTTAAGAGCCTCGGCTCTATACAAACCACACCCTTTTATTATTACCATTGAATTGTAATTTATGGCCCATTATTGCAACCAATAGGATTGTATCTACACCTCTATACACACCCATTTAGAGGCCACATTAATACAAGTAAAATGAGATTATACACTCTTTCTCAACTCTTTTTTTTGTGGAAAATACATTCTTTCTCAACTCTTGCCTGGTATATTGACATCTTAATTGAAAACCCTAGATTTGGCTCATCTTGATCTAGGTTTTCAAATCTTTGATTGTCTCACCTCAATTTCAAAGCCTAGATCTACCTCACCTCTTTCTATTTCAAGACCTTATTTTCATGGTGTTTGAATTGCCCGAAACTTGAATGGTTTTAACCACCGTCAAAATGCAGGCATGGCTTCAAGTGAATGAACATTCATGAAGTCATAGCACAAAGATATAAAAAAAGCCGAAACATGATAATAAATGATTGATATGATTGAAACATGATAATAAAAGATCGATATGATAGTTGGGATGACAAACCATATTTCAAGGGGAGCAGTTAAAATCATCGTAACAACTAAATTTAACGCCGGTAATGCAAGTCACTGTTGCAGGACACTATGTGGTGTTTGGATCGGAAGATGTCAAAAGTGTTCGTGAAAGTGAAGATAGAAGGTGAAAGGTCATGTGTGCAAGTTGCGAAAGGCCGTAGCATGTGTGCAAGTTCCGGAAGGCTTTGTCAGGGTTGAAACAATCCATGAGCATCTCATGAGAAGATGGCTGGTTTCTTGGTAAAATTAGTTAATTTTCAAAATTCCTAAAACTCCAATTCCTCCAAAAACCTAAGAAAATTCCTTTAAATGACGCAATAGACCCATAGGGATCACATAACCTAGTACACCCTTGTGTATCATTTTCCATAATCTATACACCCCAAACCATAGCCCCAACCTTTTAGAAAACCTTAAGAAATATCCCATAAAATCTCAAAAACCCTAAAATTATCTAGAATCCAAGAAAAGATAATGAAACCCAACATTATGAACTGCTTTGAGCAAAAAACTGGAGAAATCATCATCATCATCAGAGCCTTTACCCAATTAATTGGGGTCGGCTACAAGAATTATGGCCGCCATTCTGCTTTATTATCCTCTGTGAGACCATAATTCTCCATATCTTTTTGGACTACTTCTAACCACTTCCTTTTGGGCCTATCCCTTGCCTTTTTCGAGTTTGCTACTTGAACTAACTCGCACTTCCTAAAAGGTGTTGTACTAGATCTGCGCCACACATGGCTAGCCCACCTTAGTCTGCTATCTCTCATCTTATTTCCTATTGGTGCCACATCTACATTTCTCCGAATGGATTCACTTTGAATTCTCTCTTCTTGTCTTACCACTAATCTATCTCAACATTCCACTCCACATTCCACCCCATAGAGCAAAACTGGTATCACAACTATGCTATATAACTTGCCCTTCAGCTTTATTTGTATGTAACGATCACATAAAATTCCGGTTGTACATCTCCACTTTACCGACCCAGTTTTAATTCTGTGTGCAATATCCTCCTCAATCTCGCAATTTTCCTGAATTATCGACCGAAGATATAAAAAATGCGCTTTGACACTTCTTGGCCATCAAGAAAGTGTTTTTTTAGCCCAATTAACATAGACCGTCCATTTTGATAAGATGCTTAGATCTAGTTAGAAAGATTTTTTTCCTTTCCAGATTCTTTGGATTGCTTTATTTGAGTTTGTAAAGGCCTAGATCTTGAATTCACCAAATGAATGGTCTAGATTTGTTGTTGGAAATGACTCATTTTAATAATATCTAGGGTGCAAATAGAATTTTACTTGTTTTGGGATTGATTATTAGGATGAAGAGAACATTTGTGCATGTTTTGGGATCATATAAATGCCAAAAACATGGTTTCTTAGAAGTGTGGTTTCATTATATTATAATGAAATAGTGATATTACAGGTGTCAATGGGTTGGATCCTACTAGAGCCAAACTTGGACCCGAATAGTATTCAAGTCCAAAATTTGGACTTGTACCTCGACCTGTTGGGTTCCGCATCTGGTCGGATCCATTGCCACCCTCTGACTATGAGTTTTTTTTTTTGTCCCTTTGTTTTATCATCATATACCCTGTGACTATGAGATTTTTTTTTTTTTTTTTTCAATAATATTGTAAATCTTTCCAATATTGTGATAATATGAACACCTAGTGCGGGGCTAAAGAAACATGATTCCCATCCCCATCATATACCATATGACTACGGTTATGGGTTGAGTCCATCCGGACCCGAACCCGGACCCTAACCCTGACCTGACCCAGACCCCGACCCGAACAGTATTCGAGTCCAAAATTTGGACCCATGACTGGGCTCGCGATCAGATACCTCCATCTTGTCCTGGGTCTAGTTAGGTCCATTGCCACCCCTAGGTGATATGATATCATTCCCTTATAAATAATGCCAAAAAGCCTTATTTTCATATGGTACAAGTTTTCCAATAGCCACCAAATTATTACAAATACTCTTGAATTTGCATATGTATTCTGATGGGGTTAAAATTCTTTTATTACAAAGTTGGAGTTGTTGAGTAAGTTGGAACTCTCTAGCTTGAGAATTACTTGCATAGATATTCTTTAGACATTTCCAAAAGAAGTCTCGAGGGTAAATAACAAGGCTAAGACACTATTCTGATAATGTCATACGCTCCAAGCTTTAAGAAGCCCGTCGGACTTTAGCCATAATTTGTAGTCAGGGTTTTCGATTTTACTCTTACCATCTAGAGAGAAAATCTTTTGACTTGGTATAGGGCAGTCATCATTAGTGAATCCAAGGAGTTCATGACTCTCAATCAATGACAACATTTGTATTTCCCATAATAAATAGTTGTTCTGTGTCAATTTCATAGAGACAAAATTTTCTATATTTAGGGTGGAAGGATAGGGATATTTGTTAGGTGAGGATGAGTGTCTATTAGAATAAAGTGGTATTTAATGATAAATAGATATTGCCTAAGAGTGAGTTTAGATGGATCTAGGAATAAATTGGTGGTAGAAGGAAAAATAGTTTGATGAAGGATGTGAGGAAGGAAATAAAGGACGCGAGGAATGATGAAGGATAGTGGTAAAAAGGGCAAAATTGAGTATGTGATGCCTTAACCTAGAACGCCAACGGAACGCCAAAACCAGAGGAGATCCTAAGACAGAGGTAATTAGCAAGAGTGGTTCCAACTATGCAAAGGACTCAATGTAGCGCTTCCTTTTGTTCTCTTCAGACCTCAGGGACTCAAGACTCCTGGCCAAACATTACCAATAAGATGGGTATGTCAAAAAAATTGAGCGTGGAAGAGACGAGTTTTTTGCCTTGTTTTAGAGAGATGAATACGGACATAATAGGAGTATGGACCAAATAAAGTTATGGGGTTGTATACAATGAGACTATTTACCTTCGATATTAGGTGGTCACAATTACTTACAACCATTTGATGTGAAATTTGATAGCTTGGATGTGTTACATAGTTCGAAAAAAATTTCTTTTTAAGTTTGAGCTTGGTTATGGAATAATTGTAGCCACCCAATTTCACATACAATGGTCAAGATTAATATGATCACCTTATGCCAAAGGTAAATTGTCTCATTCTATATTTTCCCCAAAGTTATTGTGAAAAGAGTACGAACGAAATAATGAGAGTGAAAAAGATGATGGGTGCTGATCTTGATGATAGATATGAAATAAAGAGACACATACAAATGAAATAAAGAGACACATACAAGTTCCAGTGGGGTTTAGGGTAGATAAATGGACACAAGGTAGAATGCTGAGAGGATCTATGTCTGCTTTGATACTACGTAGAATTTTAGTGAGAAAGGAGAATTATTTGACAAAATAATTGTACCCTGCATTTTTTTTGTGGTGCTTCTTTTATTGTATAATGATGAGACAATGGTGTAATATACACTTTTCTATCTTGATACATGCAATATACAGTTTTATCTTGTACACAAGCCACTAAAAACACTTCTATCTAACAAACTCTTAAATTCATGAAGTTATTAATCAACAAATGAACTTTCTTTCCTTTTTTTCTCACATCAACGACCCAAATATTTGACCACTATGATCAGAGGCTTATACTCTTGAAATCATCCAAAAAAGCCATAGAATTCTATGCAGAATGAAGAGGTGTCAACCTGATATAAATTGATACAGGGAAGATGTGAAACAAATAGATAAAACAAATAATAAAAGATCAAAATATATACATAAGCGATTATATTCTCTTTCACGGTCTATCAGGGAGTCTAACCCAAAACATATCTGTTCACAAGATTTAAAACTAAATTATTTTATCTTGACTTCTTTTTTTAATATAATAGTTATATATTTATAGAAGAAAAATGCCTGAACCCTAACTTCTTTCCTAAAAAACCCTAATCTAATCCTAGTCCTTCATCTTTTAAAAAAGGATCCTATACCTAAATATTGAAACTCTATTCTGAATATTTGCAAAAGGATATTGAAAATAGTTATTAAATAGGGATAGTAAACTCAGATAACTTGTCTTGAATATTGAAGCATTCTTTTAAAAAAAGGATTGTATACCCTAACTTGTTTTTTGGGACCTAAGTATTTGATTTGGAGCGTGCACCAGGAGTACATCTTTGTTCTGAGAATAGAAACTTTGAATGCTAAACATTTGAATTGTTGTGTAAATCAACGAGAAATATCAAACCTTAAAGATATAAAAGTATGTAAATTTGGATGTAATTAGAAACTAATCATAACACCAATATTTATGTAGAAAGCCCTGCTAAGAAAGAAAAAGACCATGGGACACCAAAGCTGAAATATAGTATGCAAGAAAAGAATCATAAATGTTATTCTCAAGTTAATTACCGCAACTCGAGGATTTGAGAACAAGAAAATTAGATCTAGGAACAATAAAGTTGAAGAATACAGTGTTAGCTCCTAGAGATCAATTTCCTCGTCTTCTTTTCCTTCTCAAAGGGTAGTTAATACTTCTTAACAAATCTCCTTAGAGAACAGCAGCTTCAAGTAAGGGTGGCAACGGGCCTGTTGGCCCAGCCTGGCCCGATTGGCCCGGCCCTGAATAATTAGGACCTTGGCCACAAAATATGGTCCCTAGGGCTAGGTCGGGCTGGGCCTAGGCCAAGATAGGGCTGGCCCAACCCTTATTTCCTTCTTGTTTAAAAAAATTTTATTGGCCTAGCTCCTGGGGCCAAGCCTGGGCGATTGCTGGCGCGACCAAGGCCTTGCCCGTTGCCGGTCCTAGCTTTAATTATATATGAAGCACCCTATGTAAGTTTCCTGCACCTCGAAAAACCAACAGAGATAAGCCAATAACTTCAACCTCTCTCTTTAATTTTTCCTGTTCACTCTCTCCTGCAAAAAATAAAAAAGCCTATGTTATAACAAACCCTAATCATAAAATTCTCTCTCTTTCCATATTACCTTTTTCTAAATTTCTTTTCCAAAATGGTCCCATCCTTGTGGGGCTAGAGCACATTGAGAAATCCAGTGTACAGATGTTTCATTTGAAACACAAGTAAACAACATCATTCGAGATGGATTTTAATTCCACGTGAAACTTGACCTTTCATTTTGAATTTTTTGCATTGTAGAGGAATTTTTCATCTATTGTCGGGGGAAAGGTCTGGGGAAAATTAATTATGTTCTGACTTTTTGGCCATAGAAATTTACTTTCATCCCAATAGAAAAAGAGAGATCGGAATGACACCCAAATATAAATGAACATAGAACAACACCCTCTTAGATGATCTTAGTTAAAGCCAAATCGAAATCGCATTTAGTTTCTCTCTCATGAAATGCACCTAGGGATTGGGATTTTCTGGTCAAGTATTTTGCTCCCCTTCTTTAATGGGTCAGCAAGGATTTAGTCATTGCTTTGACCAATGATTGTTTACTTTCAAAATAAAGGATTCGATCCTTTGATTGTAACCTTTGGACTGTTTTTCTTTGGACTAAGTTTAAAATGGGACAAATATTCTATTTAATATTTTCATAATGGAAAATATTAGGATTACCACCATCCATAAATTCAATTTAGAGATACTTAAGGATAGTTGGGATGGCAATGGGCTTGATGACCTGGCCAGGCCCTGCCCAGCCCTAATTCTAGGGCTTGGGCTGCAAAGTGTGGTCCGAGGACCTGGGAGGGTGGACCTGGGTTTGGGCCATGATAGGTCAGCTTTGCCCACCCCCAAGCCCCTCTTTTTTTTGCCTTTATTTATGAGTCTATTAGGTCCGTCCAGTATCGGGCTAGAGTTGGGCATGGACTAGGTCCCCTTCAATTCGGTTAGGGGCCTGGCCAAACCCGGCTCGGTTAGGGCTCACCCAGCAAGCCCGGCCCATGGGGATCCTTGAACGATCTCGAAGACGTTCTATATGCCACTCTAAATGCATTTCCCATTTCCCCTTCCTTTCCATAATTATGCTGCTCAAGAAACAATGTGGATCGAATGATTTGGGAGAAATTAAAATGAATAACAACAAACGGACTAAAATTAAAAGTTGAATCATCAATTTTTGTTATTGTTCAAAATCTACATTTTTCTTGAACATGATCATGGTAGACGCTATGAATTTTTAAGTCCAAAGTCCATCACTAAAATGAAATATATTGAGGGTGTAATTTGTATAAGGCCGAGGCTCTAACCAATCAAAGTAAGGCGCCCCTTTAAATAGTATTGAAATATGTTATTTTCGCATAAGAGATTTTTATGATTTCCTAAATTTTTTTTTCATCTCTAATTATAAAGTTTAAATACTCAGAAGTAGTGTAGATCGAGGAGATATATAAACACTTGAAAATCTTAAAAATTGATGGTCTAGAGAATACATTACAAGGTGCACTATTTTCAAGATTTGAAATCTATTTTTTCTCATCTTGAAGTTTTTTCAGCATTGAAGCAATCTCTTATAGTGAATTGTTGAGCTGTGCCTTAATTTAATTGTTTAGGGCCTCACCCTTATATAACATTTTTCCATCTAATAAAGGAGATTACAGTTTGAATAATTGTTGTTGTTCAGTAACCAAAAGTCATCTTTTAATATCTCCATGGAAACCAATTTTCCCAAAAAATCTTTGGAAATCTCAAAAGTAATGCCTTATGGGCCAAGACATTTTTCGAATAGGCAAATGGAGTGGCTCTTGTAACAGTGGAGGCACCATGTGTATCTCTGTCATGCGGATGCCAAGCAACGCTGTCTCTAGAGTGGCCCCTCTCCTCCTCATAGAATTTAATTTCCATACCTAATAGAAGTGCTTGCCGGAATCTTAGCCCTAGCCATAATTTTCTGGCTATCGATGAAGAAAACCGGGAAGAGTGACAAGGTGCCCGAGCCTTCTGGCACATGGCCTGTGCTCGAGCACTTGCCGCTACTAGCAAAGTCGCGGCCCCCATGGAGAGCCTTCGCCTATCTTGCAAACAAATATGGCCCGGCTTTCAGCATACGCACGGGGTCGAAACAGAGTTTGGTGGTGAGCAGCTGTGAGCTCGCCAAGAAGTCCTTCACCAAGAATGACAAGAACTTTGCAAGCCGACTGCTCACCACGGCCACAAAGTTGTTGGCTTATGACTATGCAGTGTTCGTCATTTCCCCCTATGGGCGTGTCTCTGAGCTCGACGCATGTGTAAGAGAGATTTACAGACTCTAGATGGAGGCCCAGCCGTCAGCAGTGAAAGTGGACCTGCACAAGCAACTGGATCATATGATGTTGAACAAGATGCTGAGGATGGTTGCAGGGAGGCGGTTTCCGAACGGCATTGAGGACAGAGAGACGAGGCAGTTTCAGAGGTTGGTGAAGGAACTGGTCTGCCTCTTAGAGAATATGTTTTTGCTAGATGTGTTCCCTTTCCTGGGGTTGCTGGGTCAGACCAGGGCCATGAAAAGGGTTTGGAGAGATCTGGATTCATTATTGGAATAATGGGCAGATGAGCATCGTCGGAAATTTAAATCCGGGGATCACGGTGATCACCCGGATTTCATTGAGACAATGATAGCTGTAGCAAAAAAAAGGGAAATTACATGTAGAGATAGTTGAAAATAGTTTTTAATTAATTTTAATTTACCTTGTATTTGATTGAGATATCTCTCTTGGTAAAGACTGGATTATTTAGATATCTCTCTTGATAAAGACTAGATTAGTTAGATATCTCTCTTGATAAAAACTAGATTAGTTAGTCTTTATCAATAACTGATTAGCCGTATATTTATACGGGACTTTGTATATTATATTTATACGGGACTTTGTATATTCTTTACAATTAATCGATACACAAAGATTTTTCTGGAGGGTTCAGAAGTTTGACATGGTATCAAAGCGAGGTTTGCATGCCTCCCCTCAATCGAAAGACAACGTAAAGCGTCGACTCTTTTTGGATCGGCCAAGGTGCAACCATCCTTGGGCTGCTTGCTAGCAAATATCAAGCGTTGTTGGTCAACGGGGATTCCCTCCTTATCTTGGATCTTAGCTAAGGATCTTTACGGAGATTTGCATCTTGACGTAGAGAGAGAAACCAAATACAGGTCAATCCATATTCCTTCAAACCTAGAAATTTCTTCTTCTTACAGGTCAGTCCATATTCCCTCAAACCTAAAAATTTCTTTTTCAACGATTACTTCCTTCCTCGCCTCCCTTGCTTGATTCAGAGCAAACATACAAACTATTCTCCAATAACCTATTCTGAGAAGGTATAACCTCTGTTTACTCAATTGGTCAAGTCCCCACAAAACCGCCAAAATCCTCGGTTTCTCAAAACCACAAACCGCTCACTGTTTCTTTCTCATCCCATCATAAAAAGTTAAAAACCTCTCTCTAAACTCCTAACTGGTTCTATCAGCCCACCATATGTTCTCTCTCTCTAAACCATCCACTGATTCTATGAGCCCACCATTAAACGTTTCTGTCTCTTTTCTTTCTCTCTCTCTCCTAATTATACCACCAATATAAATAGGTCATGCCCCTTACCACGTGCTTCTACTCCACCTAATCACGGGTACCTCACATGCATCAATTTTTGGATTTGGTTGTGGTTCATTAATTGGGTCAAGTATTGGGATTAGGTGATTGGTGTAGGTGTATCTCAGTCGATACTTATCAATCCATCTTCTGATATTTGACTGGTTTTTTTGGAAATCCATGATTTGAACATGGTATCT